GTTCCAGACTTTGTAAGTTAATCAATCATAGGCCCTGATCATCTTGTGTGGATTTATTGGGTCATTTTTCTCACGATCGAAAAGCTGGCATGAGGTGTAAGTAATGCGAAGTACGGGTGATTAGCTCATGCGTTTCGCTCCGGAAATGAATATTATCGTATTTTCTACCTATTTATACCTCCTTTAAAGTATGGAATATTACAAATAAAACTAGAAAAAATATCTGAGAAAAAAGAACTTTTCACACTATAAATTAGGCCAAAGTCGGGGAAAACGAAAACGGGAAACCTGTTTGGACCCTCAGACAGCGAGCTGTCGCCCTCGAAAAGCTTTGGATTCTGTTCTGTGGGCCGCTATCTCCACCCCCTCCTCTCTCTTCTTCTTCTTCCTTTCCCACATTGCCCAACCAACGCCCTCGACCCCACAACCTCCACCCCAACACTGGATAAATTGTGAGCTGTTTCAGATAAATAGGGAACTTCGGAAGAAATCCAGACCGGAAGTCAGCGACAGAACGGGAGGAACATGAGAGCGTCGCGAGGGGCCGTGCTGCCCAAGGGAAAAAATCCCTATGATTTTAAAGGGACGGTCCCTTTCCGAAGGGGCCAAGCCCTATTCGAGAAAGGGCTTGGCCCCTTGGAAGGGGCTCAGCCCTATCTGCCATAGGGCCGGGCCCTATCAAGTTAGGGACCGACCCTATGGACTTGGGGACCGGCCCTATGAGCTTAGGGACCGGCCCTTTGGACTTGGGGATCAGCCCTATGGACTTGGGGATCCGCCCTCCAGACCACAAGGCCCTATAAATCAGCCTGCCAGCTAGGCAAAATGTGGGTGATTTAGGTAGGCAAACCCGCTACACACCTATTAAGGGTATCTTGTAAACGGCTTTAGATAGAGTGTCGGCGACACTACCATTGTTATCAGCGTGAAAAGTTTACTCAGAAAGAGTTTCTTATATTGTACATTGATGTTCAAGAGGTAGATATTTTGAACACTTGAACACTTCGCGGCACGTCCCTTAACAAAGGGATATTTCGCGGCCCTTTGACAAGGGGACTGTCCCTATCCATAGGGGCTGGCCCTTTCATGGGGATCGTCCCTATAGGGTACACTCAAAAACTCTCTTTCTTGGATCTAGTATATATCCATACTAAAACATATTCTAAAGAAATCCTCTAATCAGTATACTAACTTTCAGTATATATTCTCAAAGCTAGTATATTTCCATACTAATACATACTCTAAAGAAATCCTCTTATCGATATACTAACATTCAGTATTTATTCTCATAACTAGAAAGTTTGCATTGTAACTTGTACAATGTCCTCAGAAATTTGTATACTTATGCTACACACTCACTGCAAACTAAGTTGAAATACTGTTGTCCTTGGATAGACATTCAGGTTTGTTTTAAATTTATTCCTTTTCAAATAATTAATCTTTTAAAATATTAGTTTTCCATGAGATGAACCCAGAATTATTGTTGAAGCTTCATAAGTTTTCAAACGATTGAGGTTTACGTAGAAGAAATTTTGTCGTCTCCCACACAAATTTCTAAAAACATTGGCAATGATTGAGGGGTGTAAAAACTGACACTGGAGGCTATACCACAAGTGGAATTCTGTTTCAGAATTGAATTCATTTCAGTACATCCCTCAGACAAAGTGACCAAAAGTCTGCGACAAGTTGACGTAAACTGACTTTGTCGTGAAAGTCCAAAAGAAAAGTTAAATCTTACACTTCACAAATTTTCCATGATCATAAGAAGTACAACTGTTTAGATTATTGTCTTAGGGACTACAACAAGTGTGAAAAGAATTACTTTAATGCAACTTTAAGTTTCAGAGATCTATAAAAATTATTAGTGCTTAATTATATATTTTCTATTTTTCAAAATCTCTCTACCATATTGAAATTAGCAAAGTAAATACTAGTAATCTATTGAGTTACCCTTTTTAAGTACAGTCGGAGCCAAACAAATAATATTCTAGAGCTACAAAATGGATAGTATTGTCATCATCCGCTAGGTGGCGCTAGTGTCGCTCTATTTACGTCTTGGGTTAAAAAGTGCTTTTGCAGCCGTAATATGGTGTCCTTCTTATTAAAAACCTATACAGAATAAACGTTTGAGGTGCAATGACTCTCCCACGGCAAAATTGATTTCTATCGCTTCAATATTAGCTCAATAAATGTGAGTATAAGTTCGCTCTCACGCACGGCTCCGGGTCGTCGCTTGATAGGGTTCAGGGGCTCTGCCACTCCAGTCAGCACCACGGGTCACCAGCTATGGTCACTGTGAGGAGAATTTTTGATAGTGCTGATCTGCTATCTGGGCACTCTGATATTCGTCGCGTAGTCAGAGGGACCCAGGCGATAATTTTAGATATTCCACGGATCCAGGAAGTTAAATTGATTTAGCTGGTGACCAGCATTATGTGAGAAAGATATACTAAAGTTTAGAATATGAGTGAAGAAAACAGCCTTCTAAAAACAAGAATACACATTCTTAATTTAAGAGTGTCGCATAAGAAAAATATACTAAGACTATTTCCCTCTTAATTTAAGTATATTATACTAGGTTCGTATTTTAGACTAAAATATACTAAAGATAAGTATGCCTATCTTATTCCAAGAATCTCAGTTTTTGAGTGTAAAGTATACAGTTATCGGCAGGGGTACAGTTATCGTCATCTCGGCGAATAATTGGGTCCTGCTCTGCAAGTACGCGTCCGTTAGTGATACGGCCAATGCAGGTCGCTAGAGACACCTTTTGAGCATGCAGGACCGAGACAGCATCGCGTTTGACTCAGCATGTCAGCCAACAGAGCCACGTTTCTAGTCAAGTGCAGAATGAAGCCGCTTCGGCCGCCTGTTCTTATCTTCCATGCTAGGAACAGGGGTTCAATCTTTCGTTAAATTCGTGAATGTGGGCCAGAAAAAACTATTCTTTCTGCCAGGTTCCTTCTCCCCATCTATTGAAGAGGGCATACTGCGATTGGAGCATAGAAATTCCTCTTACTTGCCCTCATTCGGGGGGTGCCGATAACTGCACCAGAGAAATCACCCCAAACACAGTTATCGTCAGGGTGGGCTCAAACTTCATTGGTGTTCCGGGCGTCGCCCGCCAGGCTTCGATTACTCGTGTTTACCTTTTTCGAGCTCGTCCACGAATGGGTCCTGGGCACAAACATCAAGGCGCTCCGGATGCATCCGCATCTGCCCGTATGTGCCCGTGTCTGCCCGCATCTGCCCGCATTTGCCCGTGCCTGCCCGCGTCTGCCCGCATCTGCCCGCATCTGCCCGCACTTGCCCGCACTTGCCCGAACTTGCCCGTACTTGCCCGTACTTGCCCGCATTTACCCCCATGCGGGTTCGAGCCTCGACCCGCCTTCGGATGGTGCGCCCGTACCTGCCCGTGCTGTGCCCGTGCTGTGCCCGTGCTGAGCCCGTGCTGAGCCCGTGCTGAGCCCGGACACGCCCGTGCTGTGCCCAGATTTGCTCGGGCTGTGCCCGTAACGGGCGCGAAATCTTTTTGTCTGGGGTGCATCATGGTCTACATGGGGTCGAGGAGGATCTCGGCAACGGATGCAGCTAGCATGGCATGTAGGGGTATTTTTGGAACCGGTGCGACGAGAAAAAACCAATGGTGCCACTTTCGAACGAATCGGAGAAGTTCGGACACGGGTTCAAAATCCCAGTGGGGTATATTTTAAACTTTCTTTTTATTCGAGTTTTTGCATTGTTTCTTATTTTTTGAGGGCGCTGATGACGAAAATAACATCTATTTTGACCCCAGACTCAGGTTCAAACCCGTCACAAAGGAGAAATTCACACATTTGTTAATGTACGGGACGGGCCAAAGTTGCCGATGTATATCGCTACTTTTCCTGTTATTCATAATTTAAAAGTTCCCAAGGCTGCAGCGCCCAAACCATACCCATACCACCCAAATGTCGAGCCGTGCTATTTTAGATGGTAGTATGAGGTACGATTTCCCGCATAGAGTTGACCAAGTTTGGATTCGGGTCTAGCTTTAAAACGCACCGACGTAAAACCTTAAAAAAAGTGATTTTTCGTCAAAATTGGCGTTTTTCTCTATGATAGACTGTCCAGGGGTCCGTTTGGGCCCTGAAATCGAATTCCTCATGCAATTTTACGTTGGAGAACGGGTTTACAGCCAACTAGGGGCAAAACTGTAGACTTGAGAGGGATTTTTGGAAATTGTAGCAATTTGGTCAAAAACCACTTAAGAAAAAAAGTCAAAAACTAAGATTGCCCATAACTCCTATGAAACGACACCTAGGTGGCTGAAATTTTACCCCGATGTTTACCTATGGGTAGGTAACATTTGAGCCAAAAATGGGCCAAATCGTCAATGGTCCATTTTGGGACCTGCTGATTGGCCCTGGTTTGCCCCTTACACAAGTCTTAACCTTTTAGACAGGTCGTAGTCTGAAAAATTCAGACAAAATTGTCTCAATTACTAGATTGTTTTGTCTGAAAGTGGCAGCAGGAAATTTTCCCGTAACTCGGTGAAATGATAATGTTCGCATCCGAACCTCAAAGGAGAGACGTACTCCAAGGAACCGTCTAGGTAAAAAATTGAGTGTAGGGCAATGTCCCCGATGTGGGACTCTTCCCTGCACTCATCTGGAGCTGGCATGACGCACCCTAGGGAACGACGGCACGGAGCCAACCGCGAGAGGTAACTTCAAATGTCAATTGTTAAACTCGCGCGTTTGCTACAGATATAAATTTGGTATGGGAGCGTGTGTTTCGTCATAGCCAATGGAGTAATGGCCATTTCGGGTTAAAAATATTAAAAATTTAACAGAATAAAACGTTTTTAACAACAGCAGGCTCTTTACCGACACTGGCGCCACCTAGCGGAGAGAAAAATGCTTTCGTTTTGTCTGAAGTCCCCGAAACGGAGTCGGATTAAATTGAATGTAAGACTGATTGTGAGTTAACCCAATGTTAGGTTGGAAGAAAGTTGTCCAATTTTCTCTTATGTTTGAACATATTTCAGAAAGTAGTCTGAATCCGAAATTCAGACTCTTGAGGTCTGGGAAGTCTGACGCAAGTTCATATGAATTTTGAGAATGAGTACAAATATTAAGACACTTCGAGTCTGAACCAAGCTTTCAGACAAAGCGTTTAAGAACTAAGACAAAAACTCTGATTTTTCAGAATTTAGTCTGATTTACAGATTCAGACCGCTAAGTCTGACAAAATTGGTCTGAATTTTCAGAATTTTTTTAACAGTGTACTCATGTTGTTGAAGCAAAGGAAGGAGCACAAGATTTTATGATAGGAGACTTACAGAAAGAACTAGAAAGCAAACCTAGGGAAGAACACGAAACGTTTTTCAATTTATTATTTGATGAGATGAGTGTACACTCTAAGCTGATATTGTTCTGAAGAAAAGCACAGGTGAAGTAATTGGTTACACCAATTTGACCTCATTTGAAAGTGAAATGGCATCTGTTGAAGCTCAGATTTCAGGAACAGAGTTCAAATTGAAACCTGCTACCAAAGTCTTGGTGTTGCAAGGTGTCACAAATGACTTACGTGGCATTGTAGCCATATGTCCCACTGAAGCTATAACAGCAGCACCTCGTTTTACTAGAGCATGGGATGTAATTTATCGTGTTGAAAATAGTAATCTGAAAGTACTGTCTTCAATTTGTGATGGAGCTCCCACAAACAAGAACTTCTTCAGAATGCATGGATCAGTTGACAAGACCAAGAAGAAGCAGAAGAAAGATGTTATTTTCAGAACATTGAATTTAGCTGTGTGTGTGAGGTCAGATACATATTTTCATTATTGACCCCCACACACTCTCATTCCAGGAACGTGACGTCACGTTGAAACAAACGGGACAAAGTGTCACGTTCGCTTGAGCATTGTGTCACATTCGTTTGGGTGTGAATTGGCCAAAAATCAGCTTGTTCACACTCAAACGAACGTGACACAATGCTCAAACGAACGTGACATTTTGTCACGTTCGTTTCAACGTGATGTCACGTTCCTGGAATGAGAGTGCATTTATTGGAATCATTAGGGTCAGGGCGGGGAAGAACTGGACAGGGGAAGAACTGGACACCCCATATTTTACTTCAAATACCGTAGGCACAGGAATAACAACTATCAAAAGTTGTTCCTTGGCATCAGCAGTTCATTTCACGTCAGTTGTCAGGCCAGTACATACGGCATTTGAAGTAAAATGTGGGGTGTCCAGTTCTTCCCCTGTCCAGTTTTTCCCCGCCCTGACCCTAAGGAACTGTTCAGCTAACTCATACTCTCACAAAGGAACAAAACGCAGGTGGAAGAACAATGAAGATTTGTCTTGGAAAGTAATTGAAGCGCTCCTTAATATCACCCTCGAGGACAAGTATAAAAGCACGGGCTTCAGGAGAGCAATGGCGGCCGGCTGAGGCACACATCCTCTCCGCCTTGCTTATGGTGAGCATCTGACCTGCACATAGTATTCAACTTTGACACTGAAAATCTATCGGCGTGACTTCGTGCCGCTGCAGGGGCGTGAATAAAGTGTCACGCCATTAAACGGCATGACAGAAAAGTCACGCCATAAATCGGCGTGACTGAAAATTTCACGCCAATTTTTGGCGTGAATTTCTTGTCATGCCGCTTTTTGGCGTGACTTGTCTCAGAAAACGCGTTGTCATTCACGCCAAATGAGGGCGTGACTCACATGTCACGCCGTTTTTCGGCGTGAATTTCGTGTCACGCGAATTTTTGGCGTGATTTTCAGTCACGCCATAATTTGGCCATGTGTCCGACCATTACGTTTTCAGTGGAATGACTTTGTAATTTCATTTTCGAAGAGACTTAAATTTTAAAATAGAGATATGTAATCCTACTCTTGCTTCTGTTTGTTAGTTAAGTGCGAATTGATTTAGTAATCCAACAGCCAAAGGTTGGAAGAAGAAGCAAGGAATCACGTATGCAGTGTACTGCACAGCAGCATCTACTCCATACTTGTGACCAGCTACATCCGGTTTTGCCTAAGTTTCGTCCAGACCTATTTGCGTTTTGTTTTTTCGGAGCTGCTAAGTAATTTCTCTGTAAGCTCGCTGAATAACGCGGAAGCTAATGCTTGTAATGTTTTGTTCTACATTTGGGCGAAGTGCTGCTTTTGAAATAAGGCACATTACCTTGGCTGAAAACGGCGGGAGATGTGCTCTTGTTGTTGGTTTTTGTGTACTGTTGGGCTGGCCGGTGTTCGCAGTGAGTGGACCCTTTAATTCACAGTAAGCGATCCGAATGTGGGCCTTGCCAGGAACAATCGGCTTGCTTCCTATACCTGTTGTACCCCTTTAAATTTAGTGGGTTTGAGGACCAGAGAACCGCGGCCAGGGGATGCAAACTTGCAAACCTGTCATAACAGGTTGCCTCATTAACTTTAGCCCCCTTAATGGGACCCCCCCCCAGTGAATAATTATTCAATGATTTTAATTTTGGCCATCATGATTTGTACCAATGTTTTCAACAACTTTTATCTCTGGTTGAAAAACTAACATAGATTGCAAAAAGCCCATCGTTTTTACATGTTATTAGAACCAATTTGTCAGAGGCTGCAGGCTGAAAACTTTTTCAGTATTCGTGAGGAGACTTTGAGAGAAACAACAAAATTTGTAACGTAAACCGAAATGATTCAGAACCAACTAGGAGTTGAGGGCCCTTGTGTCGGTTAAAGTCCATGTTATAGTGAGCAACTTTAGACCAAGACACAAAACAGCTACCCCTATCATTTTGAAAAATGGAAAACACCATTCTTTACCTAGCAGTAACCTTAATAGTGAGCATGACAGACATGACATTGATGGCCAGAGTCTTAGCACTAACCAACTAATGCACTTGGCAAGGAAGTAGCTTCCTCCCTTTACATATGAAGCAAATTTCAATTTGTAACTGTTGGTGAATTATTTAGGAAATACTGATTACTATCTGAAGCTAAGTTTAATTTAATTTTTAGTGTTATATTATAAGTGTTGGAGTAAGATTTGATACATACATTTAGATTTTTCTTTGACAAGTGCATTACACGGACAAGAAACATACTAAGAACTGTTGGTGAATTATTTAGGAAATAGTAATTACTCATTCTTTCACTTGCAGCTTGAAGATCTTCACCATGGCCAACCGATGGGATGAAGATCCACCACCTGTTCCTCTTGTACCCCTTCCGGATGTGGTGGAACCCTTTGTGATAAGAAATGCAGAGCAGACTCCAGGCAAGCTTCAGCAGACACATGCTAGATGCCCGGTGGGACCCAGCAATATGCCTTAAGTGTAACAGGGACAACCTGTCCCAAGCAGCGTCACAGCGATTAATACTTGTAAGATACTCGTAATTTGTCCCACTTCATTGGCAGTATACTTTTCAATTGCTCATCTAATCCGTTGTCTTTGCAGGCGGTCAGCAGAGTGTTGGAAGCCAACAACGTAGCCCTCCTCGTCTATGATGTGCGCTGGCATGGAGGCAAGGTTAGCAATAAAGCAGGCATCCTTGGCGAGTGGACTGTTCATGTCCTCCCAGCATACCCACACCGGAGGAACTCACTGCGGTATGATGACTGCCAGCTGTATTCAAGATTAAAGAAGTATGTTGGGGTAAGTACGGATGAGCTATTATAATGTGGCATGTCACATCAATGAATGCAAATTTAAATTTGTTGTTGTCACAATACACACTTTACAGTGCAAACTTTCTCATAACTTTTTTCAGACCAGAAAATTTGGGGTCAACATCAAGTGTGTGACAGAGGCTGGATGGGGGCCAAAGTCATACGTGCCAATGACACGAGCCCCAACACAGTTTGAGCTGGAGAGTATGCTTGCGGCTCCGGCGCCCACAGACCACGTCTTCTGCTATGCTCATAGGGGAGATGTGTATGGCCATAATGGCTTCACTATACGCATGGAAAGAGGAGTTTGCCCAGTTTGCCAACCGGGCTGGTGACTGCCCCTGATTCTACATTTCTAATGTTATATTTTGACATGAGCATTAGTTAGCTACATTAGTTTTAATTCTTTGAAAGAGGACTGCCCCTGATTCTACATGCATCTCTAAAATTCTGTTAATAAATGGTTACTCATAGACAAGATGTGCCTTAAATTTATTTGACGTGCACACAGAGATGCATCCCAATTCCTTCGTGTCCTTACCATCACACAGCATTCAGACACTTACTGACCGTCATTGAATTGGTGGAGCTGATGACATGAATGGATGGACGCGTCACATGTTGAGATGATGCGGTCCGATCGGCAGGCAGGACCACGAGATGGTGTTTCCGTAACGAGGAGAGGAACTACTCCGAATGAACATTTTGCTACTTGCAAATACGCACGAACTTCGCTGTCGCGGGCACTCAGCGAAACCAGATGTGACAGCGAGCGTCATTGACAGCCACGCGTTCGCCGTGATGGAAATAAAGTTATACAATGTCATGCATTGTTCTTCTTCGTGGCCAACACACGGTCCAAACATTTGCGTGAGGTGCGGTGTGTGTGTGTGTGTTTCGTTTTCGTGTGAGGGCGCGGCGTGCCGGCCACGCAGCAGCTCGATCCCGCACACTCGCCCCCTCTCTTTCTCTCTTCTCGGCTTATCCAGGAGGTCCGCACCCGCTGGAACTCCTGCTTCCAAATGCTGGATCAGTTTCTTCTTCTTTCCGACCACGTAAATTGCGCCTTGCTCAAAATACTGTGGTGATACGGCTTTTGAGCCTCTGTCCCGTCTCGTCCCGCGTCGCGTCTCCGACCGTCGCCTCTGTACTTGTACTTGCCTAGTGTTTACCTAAGCCATACCTCCATCTCTTTCACCGGAAACCTCCCCAGAAACCCGCACCCCGCGACCACAGCAGAAGCGCGAGTCCGACGGACAGCGCAGCAACAGCCGCCACAATGCTAACGCCCAGCCCGCCGACACACCGCCAGCCGTCATGTGCCGACGCTGCGGCCAGGTAGCCGGCTACAGCAACAAGCAGACGACGCTCCTCGGCTACGCGTGCTACAGGAGAATGACAAGAAACCAGGCAGAAAGCCGCAGCAGGTCTAGAACTCCCTCACGCAGCCGAGACTTGGCGGAGACAGTCCTCGGGGACACGGGCGCGGCTACGCCAGCCCGGGCGATCAGCGCCTCGCCAAGCCCCACGCCGACGGAGCCCCCATGCCCCGCCTCTCCCAGCCCAAGCCCCGCCCGCCCCACCGAGCCGCCATGCCAAGCCGCCGTCCAGGTGCACGTCAACCTGAACGTGGACCAGCCTGGCCTCCAGCCCAACGGCCTCCGGCACAGGCTAACCGCCAAGCCAACGGCAGCGACAAGCACGGGCACGCAGCGCAAAAAACGGCGACAAACAGGCAAAACTCGCTGCAACCTGTGCCGAAAGCCGGGCCACCAGACAAGCCAGTGCCCCGGCTGGGACGGCGTCGACGGCATGCTCCTCGACGTGTTTGAGGCGATAGACGAGCAGCCGTCCGTACAGGACACTGTAACCAAAACCCCGCCGTCAGCAGATAACGTGCTGGAGGAAATAAACTACTGCCTAGCAGACGACTTCGGGGATTGTTTACGTCTCGACGCCTCGCCACTCCCGCCTCTCCACTGACGGGGACGCCCCTGGCGACCACTGCGGAAAGCTTGGCACGGCCGCCTGGATTTTACACGCGGCAGCCAATCACAGCCCGCGTTACAACCAGCTACGCCACGCCACCGCTCCCGCCCTCCAGCGCCCACGAGGAGACGCCATTACCGTCGCGGACTGCAGACAGATCACACGCGCGTGAGCCCAGCCGAACAATCTCGTGCAATGTCATCCCAACGCCAAGTGAAGAAGGGCGGGCGAGGCCCACAACACCGCCATCGCCCTGAATTGCCGTTCAGGGACATAGACGGGGCCTGGGCACTCAACGCCTGGACCGTGCCGCAGGCTGTGGAGACGGACACCGACCCCGCGGTGCCCACGTTGCCCGCGGCGTCCACACTGCCCGCGCTGCCCGCGGCGACCGTGGGATATGGACGAGTTCGGAGCGTGACCTTCGAAGGCGAGACGACAAGGCCGCTGATGAGAATGCTGATTTTCTGATTGAGAAGAAGGCACAACAGAATTGGGAAATCGTCGACTACGATACTCCAAACATGTTTCAGGTGAGTTAAAGCTACGGTGCCGTGCAGACGTGTTTTTAGTGAGTGTGTGTGTGTGTGTGTGGGGGGCTTCAGACTTTGCACGCGCGTCGTTGGTTTGCCCCCTGCCGCCGGGCGGGAGGTAGGCAACACATCGTGCAGCTGCTTCCTGCGACTGCGAAAGCTGAGGCGGCGAGTGCGAGGGAAGTCCCGACCTCTCGACCGGCTGGCGCGGCAGGGCCACTCCCTTGGTTTAAAATAACAAAACATTTTTTATCATCTGCCAACAGTACGCATGGTCATCAGATATGCAGATGGAGCTGCTGAAAAATGAGTCAAAAGCTGGCCGGACAGCCTATCTCGACAGCACGGGTAATCTCCTGTGCGATGCGCCCCCTGCTATAGAAGGAGGAGCGCCTCGGCCCGTCTTCTATGCGTCCCTTGTGGTCAGGCCCGTGGTTGGCAAGCACAGCCTCGCTGTTTCTCAGCTGATGACGACATCGCAGACTTCGGTTGCCACCCTCAACTGGCTACAATGGCTGCGATGGTGATGGAACGAGAAGTGGTCCGGGGCTGGCCGAATTTTCAAAACTGTCGTTGTAGATGATAGCTGGTGAGTATTGATTTAATTTGACCATTCCGTTGGTTTTTAGAAATTTTTCACCAACCTTCACTAATCTCGTCGTTTTCAGGCCCTTCATCCACGCAGTCCTGGTCAGTTTCAACCATGAGAGCATCGGGTCGTTCCTGGACCGCTGCTTCCGACTAGAGAGCGAGCAGGAAGACGCAACTGCAGCCTTCCGATCCTTGACAGTCGTCCACATTTGTGCCACCCACGCCCTGCGGCGTGTTCGAGCCATTTATCGACTGATAGTAAAAGAGGCCGCGTCTCCAAATTGGCCATAAACGCCTACCGCGCTCTTCTCCGTACAGACAGTTTGTCTGAGGCGGAGAAAATCGTGACGCTCATAGCGAGGGTGTTTCATAGGAAACAGAAATCTGAAGACGTTGACCGAGCGAGGGAGGAGCTCGAAAAGATGCAAGCTCGTCACGTCGTGCGGCTCAAGCAGGCACGCGGGGAGGCCGTGCAGGAGGACGCCATGGACCAAGACGACCCGGACGATCTACTGCCGGAGGTAATTTTACTTTACTTTACTTGTTAATTGCATTTCTAGTAAACGGAATTTGTTTTTTCCGTTACGCAACTTTCCAGAGACGACTGCGGAGCGCAAGCAGGACGCAGTTGTGGGGAAGACGCTTTATGCGGCTAGCCCCTACTACCAGCACTTCCACAAAATTGTCGAGGCACTGAGAATCCAAACGCTATGAGTATAGCGTCAATTGGTGCAATGCAAAAGCATAGCACATGAAGTGCAATGCCTCCCCATTCCCATGCATTAGCATAGGGCACTTTCGGGATGCATTGCACGTAAGGTGCAATATGGCTGCTGCATTGCACGTATGGTGCGATATGTCAGCTGCATTGCACCATACGTGCTATACTCATAGCGTTTGGAATCTCAGTGGGATGAAGCTGCGAAGGACGGAGAGGGTGACTGCTGGAACGACTATCACATCAGCACCCTCCTTAGTTACCTTGAGAAGCAACATCTGGCTTACCTCCCGTTGCTAAACAGGACGTTCGTGAAAGATGAGGCCCATTTAGTGAACCTTCTCCTCACTTTGTCGAAAAGTATTTTGGAACGGTAATTAGCTGCTAATACGATAGTAAATAATCGGCGCATAATCTGCATTAATCTAACGAAATCCCTACGTTTTCAGATAAAGACGGACCTCTTCTTTAAGGATACCAATATTAGGAGGGGCGAATTTCTGCGGCAAATGAAGGATTACACTGATGGCGCCATCGAGAACTTGAAACTACCCCTGATGAGGCCTCCACGAACAGGTACCCGGGCCTCCCAACAAGGCGCAAAGGAAGAAGACCAAGGCCACTACCACAACCACGGCCACTACCACAACCATGGCCACGGCTAGCACCACGTCCCAGCGGGGTAGAGGCGCCGCGCCGCTGCTCGAGGCCGCGGGGGAGGCAGAGGAAGAAAGCGAAAGCTAGACGAGTTTTTGCCTAATGTGAAGGACCCCTCACAAGAGACAGATAATTGAGGTGGCCTTCGCCGATACCCCATATTACCACCGAATAAACAGGTAAGCTTATGTGTGTTTGGGAGAGTAAGCCGAGCCTGAGTGTAAGGTGCATACCTTACGCGCCGCGCCATTAGGCACCAATTTCAGCAGCTAGCCAGATGGGATGCCTATCTGCCCAGCGAGCTGAGCGCATCCCTTCAATAACAATTGTATTTCGTATCCTGCAGCCTTTTACTTCCTGTGTAATCCTACAAGAGGCTACAACCACCACCAACAACGTTCCATGGGTAATGGAAAGGAAGCTTGTTCCCACTCCATCTCACATTATCCAAGGTACTACCTTTTCTTTACTGTATCTTATAAGGGCTTTATTGCAAATTTATTTATGTCATCGTACCATGTATTTCACTTCATAGGTTTACAGTTAATTGGTCTGAAGTCTTTCCATTCCTTAGAAATGATTATCCGATGTTAAAATGGAACGAAAGTTGAAGCATTCAAAACCTTATTCTTTCCCCTGGCTTATTTGGTTTCTATTAAATTCCAGAATAAATAATATGTTATTTCAGGACAGCTAGATAAATCATCTAATATTTTTCACGATACATACAAATTTTTTTTTATTCCTTCCTCTTTTAATTGTAACTGATCTACGATAAAATACATTGCAGGTCACAGCACACAGAAGGAAGTTGTCCTTGTAGAAAAGGAGAACCAGGAGCCTGGAG